GCAATAATTAGCCAAGACACGTTTGTAGGTTCTGGTTTGGATGGATGCAATGTCTGACGAGGTGGAAAAGCCACTTCCCTTTGTACGCTTCTCAGATTGTAATTTGGACCTCATGTTACAGATGACAAGAGCCATCCTGGGGCTAAACCACAGTTCTCAGCAGACCTTTACTGGAACCCCAGGAAAGGCATGTGAGACCCATGCAACATCCTCATTATCCTAAAGCATGTCAGAATCACCCTGGACCTCCTTCAAACTATGCCCCATGTCCCCTAAGACGTTCTGGTCCTGTGCTGGGGGAGACAATACTGTCCAGGTATTATGATGTGTCCCTCTCATCCTGTTTCCACGTAACTGAAAGTCAAGCTGCTACTCTAAATTTGTGGTAGTCTGCACTTTATAACACTTTTGTGGCAATCTAGACGTGCTATTCTGCCTTTCATCACTCTTGGAGTATCCTGCCTCCAATAAACTAGGGAGCCAGAAGGTCCTCAGAATCTTCCCCTTCCCTTTCCAGTCCACCAACGGCAAAGGCGAGGTGGTGAACAGGTAAGATACTTCACTCTACTCCAGAAGATTTCCTTGGCTACTTTGTCCTATAGAAACCACCAACCCAGTCCTTTTCAGTACTGAAAGTCACTTTCTATTTACTATCTGGTCAGATTCATTTTCCAAATGATCTCCTCCAGGAAGAAGGGAAGAGTAACAGCACCCAATTCAATATGCCCTGGGGTGGGAGTCAGGACAACTGTGTCCAGTTAAATCTAGTAATTTTATTGTGACATTTTAGGGACGGTTCAGGAACTAGAGGATCAGGGTGATGAAAAGTTTGGGGAAAAATCCATAACTAGATGGAATGGAGTATCTCAGGTTGAATTTTACAGATTCATTTAAAAACTCTTTAAGGTTTCTAAAAACCTATAAAATATGAAGAAATATTTTTTCCTTTCATTATTCTCAAGATAATGGCCTCTCCCAGCTTCAGTTAAGCAAATGATGTCTGCTGTGTATTTTCTTCATCATTAACCTTCCTGAGATTTTTGGAGACTCCATGTCCTCCACCCATATCAGTTTACATCTAACTTTATCTTGAACACACAGGCCAGTTAAAGATCCAAGCATCATTTTTGGGAGATGTGATATATGTCAACACACCAGTGAGGGTTACTGAAGGAAAAGCATTTCTTATATACACAATGGAATACTATTCAGCCACAAGAAAGAAGGAAATCCCGACATCTGCAACAACATGGATGGACCTTAAGGGCATTATGTTAAGTGAGATAAATCAGACAGAGCAAGACAAATACTATATGATCTCACTTTTATGTGGAATCTAAAAAAGCCAAACTTGTAGAAACAGACTAGAATGGTGGTTACCAGGGCCTGGGGGTGGGGGAATTGGGGAGATGTTGTTAAAGGGTACAAACTTGCAATTATAAGTTGAATAAGTTCTGGGGATCTAATGCACAGCATAGTGATTATAGTTAATATACTGTATTATACACTTCAAAATTGCTAAGAGACTAGATCTTAAATGTTCTCACCACAAAACAGAAATGATAATTATGTGACGTGATGGAAGTGTTAGCTAACGCTATGGTGGTAATCATACTGCAACATATCAACGCATCAAATCAACATGTTGTACCCCTTAAACTTACACGATGTTATATGTCGATTACATCGCAATAAAAAAAGCATTTCTGAGCTACATGCCAAGCACATGTATCAGCTTTGATTACAACAAGCTTTCAGGTTAAAGCTCTCAACTCAATAAAACTAGGACATAAATCAAATATTAAGTCAATCAGCAAAGGAACAGGCACTATTATCTATTTCGAGATGGAGGCAGGCGCCCTGCTGTGCAGGGCTTCCTAGGCCATATTAAGGATTTTGTTATTTTTCCTAACGAAAGAGTTTAAGTAGGGGAACCCCAGGACCTGATTTGGGTTTCAAAGATTATTTCGCCTGCTGGATTGAGGATGAATTCAAAGTGATAGAGACTGGACTAGGGAGACCAGGGGAGGCAACTCTAGTATATGCTCTCAGACTAGGTAATAGTTGAATATGTGGAAGTATATATATATACACACGCACACACACACACATAAGTCTATCTATCTATCTACCTATGTATCTGACTATTCTACCTATCTGCTTATTAAACACATACACATTATATATACAATTATCTTGTACAACAAATGAAGCTTTAATAGCACAGAGGGCCAGTTCAGCCCTTGCAGTAGAATCAGACGTGCATTCCTCCCACCCATAGGCCTGAACTGTGTTTGCCAGTTTGTTAGAGGGCTTCCTTCTCTTGGGCTGTGTCCTGTTGGAGGAGGTACAGCTCACCAGCCTGTCGCAGTCCAGACTCTGCAGGAACCAGGGCTAACCCTGATGAATGCAGAGGCAGGCTTGCAGCTGAAACGTCCAGTGGGCGATACAGGAAATGGCTGGGAAGGCATCCCCTCTCCTCTCAGAGCGTCAGCAGCCACGCTGCTTCCTCTCTGTCTGACCTTGGTGTATGGTTCTGTTTCTGAGGGCTCCTCAGCCCCGACATGGCCCTCTAGGCCCACAGGAGCCCTGGGGTGCATCACACAGAGAGGTCCGGCTCTGGCTTTGTCCTCCCACTTAGGATGAAACAGGGAAGATCCACCCCTTCCCCAGCTGTGCAGACCAGCAGAGGAATGTGAGCACATAGAATGCACCAAGTGTGACGGTCAAAATGCTGCTGTAAGTTTCCAATGCACAAGGACACCTGCTTCATAGAATGGAGGCAATTTTCATTTTTCTGAGTAGGAGCTGCTTCCAAAGAGGAAAGGAGCAGCTGGCCTTGATTTATCATCATCATCATCAGGAGAAAGGGGTGTTTTTCTGAATCCCCCTGCTCTGTGGGAAACACTTTGAAGGGCTTGACTACGAACCCTGGTCTCTCTGGCCATCTCTCCTGGGAGCAGGCAGGAGGGGCAGCCTGTCGTAGCCTTGCCAGGCCGCCCCTTGAACTTCACCCACGTGCTTGTTGGGGTAGTTCTTAGCCACGGACGTCTCTACCTGACGCCTCGTTATGCTCCAGAGGCCCGAGCAGCTCCCGCTTGGCTTGTTTATTCAGGACTCTGGTGTTTGCCTTGGACTTGTTAAATCTCTGTGCTCAACATTGCCAAGATTCTGGAGGCGAAACTCAAATGTAAGGCTGACCTTGGAATGTGAACCTCACACAGATGAATCACACCTGGGCTGGAGCAGTTCCTGGGAAGCAGTGACCCCTGGGGTGATACTAAGCCCCACTGTCTGGTAATCTTTGCTTTGAGGCATGATGCTAACGCTGAATTTAATTTCATAGATATTTGTTTAAGTTATGTTTTAATACCTCAGAAGCTTAAGCAGTGTGAGGGGGTGGCAGTTCTGAGAAGCAGCTTCACATGAGGACCTAGACATGGGGGTACCAACAGGCGGCGGCTCGCCCCCCTCTTCCAGGCCAGAGTTACAAGTGCACTGAGATACCCTGGGGGGTGCTGAGTGGGGCCTGGGTGGTCACCTCTGGCCATGAGCACCTCGCCCGGTCACCCCAGCGTGCCGCCCAGATGTCTGCACTTTCTCTGTGTGGCCTGCCGTGAAGACGGTTCACACACACGGCTGTGCAGGCAAACGTGCCCGGTTCTCACGGATCTGGCTCCCCCCGTGAGGCCCCTCTAAGCTGGATTTCTCACCGCTCCCAGCTTTCAGCTCCTGCTGACGTCTGCCTGGGACCTTCCAGTAGACAATTCCTTCTGTGACCGAGCGCTAAGGTGCTTGGTTCGCTACCCTATACTCTGTCTCCAAGAGTAGGTCTGCTCTGGGTTCTGGGGTTGACATCCTCCAGCACGACTGCTTTTAGGATGCCTGAATTAGGAACACCTCAGACATTTAGAAAGGTATCTTGGGACTATAACTCTAGTAATGGCAAGCTTGACTGGCCAAGAACAGAGAGAATATTCCATGAAAAAGGAAACATTCCTTTTCCCGGCTTCTTGTCATACCCGGTAGGGAACTGGGTCAGCTGAACTGTCTCCAGCCTGATGCAGTCTCTCATTGTCAGTGTCCCAAGGGGGAGCGATAGAGTCTTATCTAGGCTGCATTTTACAGTATATTGTTGCTTTGATTACTACCACCCCCCCTCCAAAGAACTACTAAATGAAATATATTTTTCATGCTTTGTGTAAAGAAAAATAAAATTTCGGAGTTGGGATGAATCTTATCTGAGTTCCTGAAGGGTCACTACATTTTACAGGTCAAGCGACTGAGGCCCCGGGGGTTAAGGGAGTCGCTAGAGGCCACCTGCTGCCTCTGCTGCTCCTCGCGGGTGCCCCCCACACGCAGCCCCACACAAGCTCGGTGTAGACATCTCCCTGGCAGGATCTGATTTCAAGCTCTGCATTTTGAATTGAGACAAAGGTGTTGGATCAATGTTCCATTTGTGCTTAAGTGTCTTTTCTTCTAGAGAGTTTTAGAGAAAGTATATTAAAGGATTCTGGGTCTTTATTGCACACTTCTCTCCCAGGGGGACAGAAATTAATTTGAAAAACAGTAAACAGACTCTATGCTGCATGTGCTGGGGAGACAAATTACTGGCTGTTCCTTTACCAACAACCCCACCCCCAGCCCTGCCCTTTTCCATAATAAGAGCTGCCATTTACCCACCTGGGATTGTACAAGACACTTTGCAATTATTTCCCACCCTCTCAATAACCCTATGAGGTAGAAATTATTCCCATTTTACAGATGAGGAAACTGAGGCTCCCAAAGGGTAAGTAACTTGCCCCAAATCACACAGCTTGGTGAGTGGTAGAATCCTATTTATCTGATTCCAAGAGTATCTCCTTTCCATTTCAGGTTGGTGAAGACATCACTTTGCATCTCAGGGCCCTGTCCCTATCACACGACTCAGATAGGACCCACCCCATAGCCTCTCTGCTTTATGTAGAGGACCTGTGTGGTGCGGCCAAACCCTTGTCTACCTGCAGAACTCTCCTTCTGATTCTGGCAGCAGGAGCGAGGCCATGGGGTTCTTCATCAGATCAGCCACCACGGGGTCCTTGGGTGTCACATAGAAGAAAGGAGTCCCAGTGCTGTTGCTCAAGGGGCCGTCGCTGATGGGCAGGCAGTTCCCAAATGGCAGTCCTGGGATCTAAAAAACACCAACAAAGGCTTTTGCAACGTAGGGCTGTGAGTTGACCCCAGCTGGGAGCTTAGCTTGTGTCTCTGGCCAGGAAATACAGCACCGGGGATGTGAAGGGAGCAGGGCATCACCAGGGTTTTGATGGGGAGGACATTAAGGCACAGTGGTTCCCAATCTGCCCAATTCACCCAGTGATGGCTTCAAAATTCTAGAGAGGGGCTTAGCATGGCATTCTGTTGGGAACGGATGGTTAGGGGATTATTCTTGAAGCTGCACTTACATAGCAAACACATTCACTTTATTGAATTTGAAGTTATTTGGGGGAGAGGCAATGAAATTTACCAAGGGATGGTAAAATCCTTCCCACAAGCTGACCCTGGGAGCCCCACCGCCTTCACTGCCTCCCCCAAGTTTTTGGCAACTTTGGAGATCGACTTTGTCTTAACTTTAACATCTTACCTGGTGTTTGGATTCTAGGAACTTTCTATTCTTGTTTCTTTTAGGGCCACATCACTTTCACTTATTGGTTACATTTTTTTCTTGTAGTCAATAATATTTCATTATATAATTCAGCAACTTATGGGAAATTGGTTTCTCACCCTTTTAGCTTAAAGGAAGTCGCAGAAAAATGCTATACCAATTTTCGTTCACGATCATCTAGTCGAGTGGGTGAAATTCTCACACATATACGCATATATTTCTTAGGTTTTCCCACACCGTGCTGGGTTCAGCATCCCAGGCTCCATAAGCTTTACCCTTTACAGAGTACCCCTCATCGTTACTTAGCTCAGAACTCCGAGGCTCTCTTTGTCTTTGAAGTGTTGCATGACTATGGTGCGTAGAATTGTGATAAGGGGTGGCTTTAATCTTTTTTTTTTTTTTTTAAGATTTTTTATTTATTTTATTTTTTCCCCCCAAAGCCCCAGTAGATAGTTGTATGTCATAGCTGCACATCCTTCTAGTTGCTGTATGTGGGACTCGGCCTCAGGATGGACGGAGAAGTGGTGCCTCGATGCGCACCCGGGATCCGAACCCGGGCCACCAGCATTGCAGCGCGCGCACTTAACCACCAAGCCACAGGGCCGGCCCAAGGCTTTAATCTTTTAAGAAAACACAATGTTAAGGAGTCCTCCAAAATGGTAATGTAAGTTCATTCACAGATTCTATTTTTCAGCTTGTCATAAACTGCCTAGAGTCATGTTCCGCACACACGGCAGGCATGTGGTCAATGTTCTCTGAATTTATTGAGTTTGGATTAAATGTCAATATTGGAAAGGGGAACTACTAACAAAGCTAAAAAAAGAGATGTCGAAAGTCAAAATATCTTTAGTACATTGGCACTAGACTTTTAATTGCTTGAAACAATCTATGTTTTAAACCCAGATGAGCTTCAAATTTAAGCTTTATATCTTCTTAACGTGTGTCTTAGGAGCATAATATATAACTGTGAAAAACCATTTGGATGCCGTGAAAGAGGTTAAGATCATTGCCATAATCAGAATAAAGTTGTGATTTAGATCATTTCTTTAAGCAAAAAAGGACCTTCAAAACTACCTAGTCAACCACTTAATTTCCTAGATGATGAAAGCAAAGTGGCGAACCCAGTGACTTGGCCACAGTCTCGGAGCAGGGGAGACCCAGAGCTGGGGCCCTGGCCAATGACCTACACATTCCATAAAATATTATTATTTTTTGCATGAAGTAAGTGTGAGTTCACATTACTGCCCTGTAACAAAACCCTTACATTTATCTTAACGGCCCTAAAAGCTTTCTGGAGGGTGTATGCTTATGGACGTCCCATCCTCATCATTTATCCATGTCATTCTGGCTTAAGGTGGGATCATGTGTAACAGGTGAGTAAAACATGTGAACTGAACAATAAAAATTGCCGCTGATAACAGGTCATTCCAGCATTTATACACTTCGCACAATAAGCCTCCTTTCCAGAAAAATTCCTGATTTTCATTTTTCAAAATGTAAATTTCCACCAAAGCCCCAGTAGCGTCTCTCTCCCAGTCCCGCTTGGGTTCGGTGTCAGTAGGTGACGGGAAAGTTCAGGTCACTGGCGGCGCTGTGGGCTGGGAGGCGCTGCGCGCACCTACTCAGTGATTCTAAAGGCAGCTCTGGCTTCCTTTGTCCAGGTCTCTGGTCAGGCGCTGGCTATTTGCACGTCTCTTTAACTGACCACCTCAAGAGTGCGCTTCAGTCCCCATCCGCTCCAAGCCTGGCCGTCAGCCACCCTCCCTCCCCCGCCCACCACCACCACTTTGCCCGGCTAACCGAAGCACAGTCTGCTTCCATTATTTACACCCTGTCCAGGGTCCAAACCAGCCCACCGGGCACGTCTGTTGGACCTGGATCCGAGCACGTGAGGGGTCGCTAGCATCTCCCTGTCCCCTGGGCGCGCCGCCTGCGCGCCAGGCCACTGCGAGGCATGCCCCTGCAACGCGCTCCGGCCGGGGGAGCCTACCTTCTCGTGGGCGGACACGGTGGCCAGACAGCCCCAGGCGCTGGCGTGGGCCAGGAAGCGGGCGGTGCCCGGGCGCAGCCGCGGGCCGCTCTCGCGCGGGTAGGAGAACATCCCGGGCGGCGCGGGGGGCGGCCTGGCGCGGGCGGCGCCCGCCGGGGGCGGCAGGTGCGCGTCCTCCTTGTGCGCCGAGGCCGGGAAGCTCTGCTGCCAGATGCTGCCCGAGTCCTCCAGCAGCGCGGGCAGTGCGTCCTCGGCGGAGGCGCCGTCCAGCTCCTCGTCCACCTCGTTGGTGACGGCCCAGGACACCGAGCTCACGATCACGTAGCCCGCGGCCGGGGACAGCAGGGCGCTGCAGCACAGCAGCCAGGAGAGGCGGGTCCCGGGCCGCGCCGGCCGCTCGCCGCGGCGCACGGACATCTTGCAGGCGGCGCGTCCTGCCGCGGGGACCGCCCGCAGCGTGCCAGCGGCCGGCGAGGGCGGCAGCGCCCCCCTGCGGCGGGTGCGGGGAGCTGGAACCGGCTTCCGACCACCGCAGGATTCGGGGAGTGACGGGGTTGGGGGGCGGTCCCCGGCTCCGGGGATGCCCTCGCAGCCGCACGCCGCGCTGAGCAGGCGAGGCTCCCCGAAGACCAGGTTCCACTCCAACGCTGCGCGTGCTGCAGTCGCCGCGTGCAGAGTCCTCAGCGCGTGCCTGGTCCGGGCATGGGCTCGCTTCCTGCTGCATGGCACAGGCTCTCTAGCCACACGGTGGGCGTTCAGATCCCGGCTCAGTACACAGCTCCGCTCACCGTTAGCTGTGTGACCCTGCCAAGTCGCTTAACCTTTCTGTGCCCCAGTTCCTTCATTAGAAAACGAAGAAAACTATCATAGGGGTGAGGGATGGGAGGATTAAATGAGTTAATATTTGGAAAGGCTTTAAAACAGGGCGTGGCAGGGAGCAAGCATTATATTTTGTTAACTAGACAAAGGTAGGGTTTGTTATCATCATCTTCTAGAGGAGGAACTGAGTAAACAGTGAGGATGAGATTAGCATCAGTCCCTCTGATGCCGAAGCCCAGTCTCTTGCTCTGTAAGGACGATGACCAACATACACTTTGTTGTGACAGGAGGGCGTGGCCTCCAGTTCTTCTAAAAGCAGAATCAAGGTGTTTACATATAAGCTAAAGTACAGGCCAGCACCCAGAGAGAGTGGGGCCGGGAGGACGGGCAGAGAATGTATGAATGTCCCACAATTTAAAACAATTCTTTTATTGATGGAGATTTGGGTTGTTTCCAGTAATAAGGTTTTATGGATGTCAAAATGATTTTAGATTATTTACATTTTTTAAACTTCTGCCTATGGTGTGCATAACTGGCTCACTAGGAGACATTTTCTCCTCTAGATTTTCTACCCAGCATCTAACAGTCCTCCTTCAGATTTGCTATGGATGAAAATAACTTGCACTAGCACTAGAATTTGTTTAGATATTTTTGGTAAATGTTACATTCTGCGGTAACTAGACGATCTGTTGTCTACCAGTCAAGCCATCTTTCTTAAAAAGACTTCTTAATCTCCTCAGTGCACTCCCAGCTGGCCCCCCCCGTCCCACCCCTGCTGCCCTTTCCAGGGTGACCTCTTTCTGGCTCTCGTCTTACTGGAGCACGCGGTAGCCTTCTGTGCAGCTGACCTCTCTCTCCTCTTTCGGGTCTTTTCTTACCTCTCTGGCTGCACTTTCTCAGTCTCCTTTGAGGATCCCCTCCTCCGTCCACCCCTGCACACTGATATTCTAGGGGGCTTCTGTCTCCAGCCTTTTCCTCTCTGTACTCTCTGAGTGATCTCCTCTATTCCCATGGCTTCTGCCATCCCTTTATGCTGCTGACTTGCCAACCGAAATTCCCTGCTTAGTGCTCTCACTCTCTTTTTCTCTATCCCCGGCCCTGGAATGATATGTCCCATGGCCATGGAGAGGCAGTATAATAAGTCATTAACAACATGGGCTCTGGGGCCAGCCCTGATGGCCTAGTGGTTAAGTTTGGCACCCTGTGCTTTGGCGGCCCGGATTCGGTTCCCAGGCGTGGACCTGCACCACTCATCTGTCAGGGGCCATGCTGTGGTGGCAGCTCACTTACAAAACAGAAGAAGACTGGCAGTGGATGTGAGCTCAGGGTGAATCTTCCTCAGAGAAAACAAACAACAATAACAAAGTTGTGGGCTCTGGATTCAAATGGATCCAAACCCTGCTCTATCACCTACTAGGCGTGTCTGCAAAATGAAGACAGTCCCATCTACCTGGTCAGGTGTTGTGGTTACAGAATGGGGTATCAGGTGCAAAGCACTTTATGATGGAGGCTGAATATCATCCACTCTCTCTGTTTCCACAGAGGCGATGGAATGTCCATTCTAATCCCTGGAAAGGGAAAATTTGGAGGAATATTGCAGGCTTTTGACTGTCTTCTTCCTCCTGCCTCCTCATCTGATGGATGAGTTTGGGAAGAGGAACTCAACATGCTGTCTCAGCCTCTGCGGGGTTATTCTTTTCTGTTCTGAATGGTCTGTCCGCCATTCTCTTCTGCCGCGCCTGAGCTGGTCTGCCCCTGGAGGAGGTGTGCGGCTGCCCTGTTCTGTCTTGTGACTGAGGGAGTAAGTTCGGTGGCAGAACCTAATAGGAGTCCTAGTTGGTCAAAACTGTCCCAATTATTTTTATCTCTGTTAAGCTTTCTAATTCCTGTGTTTTATTTCCAATTAGATCCAAAGTCCAAAGAGATTTAAGAGGGTGAACGATAGTCACCCTCCAAACTCCATCACGTAATGTGTGTGAGGACAGAGTAATGCTCAATAAATGATAGCCACTGAGATTTGCCTTCTGGCCATTTCCCCCTGAATATCTGTCAGGTCCTTCACACTCAACTTTTGGGAGACGATTCTCTGTGGATTTCTTGTTTCCCACAGGGTCCAGGCCTGTTTAATACTCGTGAAAAGCTACAGATAGTGTACCCTTCTGGAGAGATTTAGAGACCTGTTTCCCCAGAGACGTCTCAGGCAGTAAAGATTAAAGCCCTTCCCGTCCTCTCCCTAGAGACACTTGCTTACTCTTCAGGGTAAGAAATCTAGAGACACCTTCCCCATCTTTCCTGGAGATTTGCTTACATTGCAGGATATCACCAGCAGCCTTGACAAAAGCTGAGTCTCATAATTTCGGAGTTCCTCTCCACCTACAGGCACACATACAGTTAACATCTGGCTTTCATTGCATCATCCTATGACTGTTGGGATGTGGGGAACTGATGTAAGATTTTGCTCTGGCTGGTTTTTTTTCTTTGAGTAATAAATGATCCATTTCTTTGACCCAGGAATCTTGAGTTCTTCTATAAGAACAGATACACACACACAGACACACACACAGACACACACACAGACACACCTGTGGCAGGCGAATGTTTAGTTTGCATAGGGTAAAATCTCAGCCCCTTCAGTTTTGGACTTGACATCAACACATCCTCCTTCCAGAGTCACTGCTCCTTCTATGTCTGTCACCTCAGTGTGTGGTGTCAGTGTCCATTGTGGACCTGGCCACTCAAAGCAGAAACCTAGGTGTCACCTCATGTTTGAAAAAGAGGTAATGTCACTCACCCAATCGTTCACCATGAACTGAGTATTTTATCTCTTTAATATTTTAAATCTCTTATTATCTGTTCACTTCTTTCCATGCTTTCTCCCACTAACTTGGCTCAATCGCTCATAAGTTCTCATTGGATTTCTCATCATTCCCTTGCTATGAATCCTTCAATGGCTTCTCATTGCCAAGATAAAGTCCAAGCTCCTTAACCCAACATATAGATCCTTTGTAACCTGGTCCCTGCTTTTCTCTCTATCTCCGTCTCTCACCACTGCCCCTCCCTCCCAGACCCTGCTGCAGCGATGCTAGCCTCTTTGTGGTTCCACAGACAGTGAACACCCAGATATCCACTGGGTGGATTCTACAATTAACTTTTTGCTGTATTTGCATTATCACTATCTATCTATGTATCTGTCCCTCTATCCATTCATCAATATCCATGATAATAATTTTAACACATTTTAATTGAGAGATATGACATATGCAGAAAATGCATAAAATGTATATGTACGATTTAAAGAATCACTAAAAAGAAAACCCACGTTAACATCATAAGGCGAGGAGAGGCAATATTGCCAGTTCCCCAGAAGCTCTCTATATGCCCCCATCACAATCCCCTGCCTCCTCCCCAGAGATAATTACTGTCTTGACATTTGTGATAAACATTTTTTTGCTTTTCTCTATAGTTTCACCTCTTGTGTATACACCCCTAAATATTATAGATTAGTTTTGTCTATTTTGAACTTTATATAAACGAAATCATACTTTATATATTTTTTTGTCTTTCTTCTTTCAGTCAAAATTATGTTTGTGAGAATCATCCTTGTTCTGTTGTTTGTGAATACTGTATATCTAGGGCTGTATAGTATTCCATTGTGTAGCTAAGTGACTATTTATTCCACTAGTCTATTGTCAGTGGATGTTTTGATAGGTTTTATTATTCAGATATGGTGAGGCCAACAGATCAGGAGACGACTGCCACTGAAAAGGTAATTTATTCTATTTGTAAGTAGGTCCCAAGAGAAGGAATACACATCACACCACCGGAGGCCTCATGAGGAAGCACCAAGGTCAGTCAGGAGGTGAAGGGAGAGGCGGAACTGTGGGCAAGAGCTTTATTGTGGTTTCTGTGGGAAGGAATGGAAGAGACAGGCTAAGCAGGCTTAGGGTTGGCTAGTTTGAATAATGTCAGGGCTCTGGGACACAGGGGCTGTCCCTGGTTCTGTGGTAGCTGGCCCTGGGGTGATTAGGGCAGGTGGATAGTGGCCCAGAGTGTGAGAGCCATAGGAGAGGTGGTGGTGGTGTGGGCTCTGGATTGTCAGGTTTCAAAAGTGCACCCCTAGCAGGAGGACTCCTCCTGAGGAGGGGGAGCGATGAGGGAGGCCACAGCAAGATGACTCAGGCACATTATCAGGCTGTCCAGGACAAGGTGTTTGGCATATGCATGCAGGACAGATGCTAAACCATCACATTTACAGAAGCCAGAAACATGGTTGATACAATGGACACCTCGGTTTCGAGGTTCTTGCCACTACAGACAACACAGCTATGAACATTCTCATATTCTGGGGTGTTGCGTCCTTTATGCCCTGTCTCACTTCTTCTCGGCTCATCTGTTTTCTCCAGTTGTTGCTGTGGTAGCTAAATAACGTGGGTATAGACTGACGGCACTTCACCTCAGCTGTACTGTGTAGCCCTTGCTTTTTGCCTCAGGACCTCTGGGCCACTGCTGTGTGGACATCTGTAGGGTTCCACTCAGCCATGTGAAAACCTAGGAGTGCAGAGCATTAACACCCATTGGGACAACCTTTGACCAATGGGGACAGGAGCCAGAGGGTAAATACTCTCCACT